CTTGGTATCTCGGTAGTTCTTGTGGTCATCACATGCGCTCTGCCGAGACGCTTTTTATTACTCATCAGCGTCCTCTTCGATATCCTGTACCTGTCACAGTTGCCAACGGACTAACTACACTGAGGGAAAAAACTTTCCGGATAAATGGGTTTAGGCTAATGCAGGTCAATTTTTGCCTGTTATGGTAACAATAACTTTCCTCAAATTTCCCTGTGTGTATAACACTGCGTATATTCATGAACCCACCGAGTTCTGGTTTGTAATAACGAAGATGTCTAACGTAGAATAAGGCTTTGCAAGATGGATTGCTTCCGGACAGTTAGTTCCGATCGACGTTCGACATCTACATTCGCCTCCGTTCTTGATTTAGGTCTCGATCTAGCAAACTTCTCGCCGCCGCTCCGTAGCCCCGTAGTCCGCACACGGTCCAGACACCATGAAGCCGGTCGATGAGAAGCGACGAGCACGTATGATCAAGCTTCTGCGCAAGGGGGTTAGCGTGCGGAAAATAGCAAAAGATTTAGGTGTAGGTAAAAGCACCGTCCATGACTACAGTCTCAAAGTCATTGCAAAGACTAGCCGCGATGAGGTGCGACCCACGATGCCGCCAGATGGAAGGCCACGGGTCATATCACACCAACTCTAGCGCACCGTTATTCGAGCTATTACTAGTGGCGTGGCAAAAATGCTAGGAACAGCACACAATGTTAACCTATGCCCCAGGATAGTTAGGAATTCACTTCGTGAAGCTGGTCTAGTCGCAGTATCGCAACCGAAAAAACCGCGACTGTCGAAGCAGAACATTAAGGACAGGCTGGAGTTTGCTAGGGCGCACGTAGACTGGACGCTCGAGGACTGGAAGCGCGTTATTTGGTCCGACAAAACGAAGATAAATTGGTTTTGCTCGGACGGCCGCGCATACGCCTAGATCCGCGACGGCAACAACCTGCAGAGCCATCAAATCCAACAAACGGTGAAGCATGGAGGGGGTTCTGTGATGGTGTGGGGGTGCTTGACCTATGACGGCGCGGGTTTTATGTGCAAGATAGATGGGCCATTGTATCGCAGCATTTTACAGGATGAACTCACATCCACTATCGAGTTCTATAGCCTCACGCCATGTAAAGTCATATTCCAACATGATAACGACCCCAAGCATAAGTGTCGCCTAGTGCAGGAATACCTTGGGGAGCAGGACTATTCCGTACTCGTGTGGCCCTCCTCCTCCCCCGATCTTAACCCGATCGAGCATCTCTAGGCTCACCTCAAAAAGGAGCTGTCCAAGTACGAGCGGCCACCATCAGGAATGGTGGAACTTTGGGAGCGGATCCAAGAGGAGTGGGAGCAGATTCCCGCGGATTTTTGTAAGAGGCTCATAGACAGCATGCCGAAGCGTATGCGTGATGTGATCAAGGCTAGGGGAAGGTGGACTAGCTTCTAGAATCTGGATTAGTAGATCTTTTGGTGATTCGGGAAAAAACTTTCTGGATGATGACCTTGTATGTATAATGTGTCGTGAGCATGTTTGTATGAGGTAAACGAGCTAACACTAAGGGACAGAGTTGAGACTACATGTGCCCATGACACAAGAATGTTCTAACATTAAGGCTTAATAATTCTCTGAAATTATGGCTAAAAAATGCAATAGAGCCTTTGCATCCTAACAGTTTTTTCCCTCAGTGTATGTTGAATTTCTTCGCGAGAGTCTAGGCATACTTTGAGGCGGAGAGATAGATGGCCTGTGGCATGTAGGAGATGTTGAGTCTTAGGAACTGGGTCACGGTCGTGGAGGTGGTGATGTCAACGCGCTGCCCTAGGCTGTGCTCGAACTGATCGAGCAGGTCAGAGTTTGTGCTGTTGTAGAGTAGGTCATTGACGTAGACAGTGTGGAGGATGTAGTCTCCGTGAAAGTGGAGGCGGTACATCCCGGGATCGAGAGGTAGCTCAAAGTGCTGGCATGCTGCGACGGCGTGCAGGATGCGAGCGCAAGTGTGAAGGCTGACAGGCGCGAAGGTAAGGTCGAAGTCAATGCCCTGGCATTGGTTGTAGCCACGTACGTCCCAGCGAGCCTTGCAGTGCTCGACATTCCCTTGGGCTTCTGTTTTGAGGCAACTGTCTAATTTGCGAGAGAGGATATTCCTCCCCTTTATTGCAGTGCAGTCGACTAGGAGACAGGTGTTGCAGTCGCGTAATGTGGCAATTTCGAAATCCACAGCCTTGCGCCATTCAGCGCGGTGTGGACCGGTGAGAGCCTGCCATGGTGTCGCTGGCTCGATCACGGAGGGATTCTTGTGGATGTTGACTGCCCAGACGTAGCGGGTGGCAGCGTCAATGAAGGTGAGGGTGTACTGCTCCTCGTAGAGTCCTAGTTGGGGTGTACTCTCCAGTTGGGGCTGAAAGCCATGTGAGTGTGTTGTTCATATGGGTTTGGTCGCCCTGTTTCATGCAGTCAAGAGCCACGTAGGCAAGGACGCGTTGCAAGCATTCCATTGAGTCATGGGGGGTTACTATGGTTTCCAGGGAGGACCAAGTATAGCTCCATAAAAGCGGTGGTTTGGATCCTTTGCGTGTGCCGCTCTTCCATCGCGGTGTAGGGAGCCCGGGACCCACGCTACGCCCCCCGGACGCCCCTGGACCTAGTTTGGGCAGCAAAGGGCAACGATTGCCGACACAACCATCATTGAGGCGCTCGCACACAGGGTGAATTGTTGCAACTCGGTGTGCTGACACAAGATGGGGCAGGTGCATCGCCCTTGCAGATCTGACACTGAGCTTGTAAGGTGACGGGGGGCTTTGAGAAGGCCAGTCGTTCACCTCCACCAAGTGCTGGTAGTAACAATTACGTGTCACGTACGCAACCTTTGTATGCACTGGAGCTTTTCAGTCTACTTAGTGTTATGACTGAACTATTATATAATGTTAATTGTTGCCATGTATCGTGTTCTTCAACCGTTGGCCCCAAATTGGCGTATGGAAAGACCTCTACAATCTCGGATGTGATGTACGTTTTGACAGCTTAGCGCAAGGTTGGACATATGCACGACCATCAAACACTGCCCGATACTGCAAAACCAGTGGTGGAGACATCGTTCCACCTGTGGCCCAGCTCAAATCGCCAAAGGTATCCTCGTGCAAAACATTTCAGTGCCCGCCCAACTCCGCCCCCATACTCACTGATTTTTGGGGCCATCTGCTCCACGCCCGTCTTGACAAAACCTAGGACTATTACATCGTGTCAACCATTTACTGCCGGTCGCGTTTTGACTACTCCTGGGCTCGGTAAATTGCCACTGCCACGGCGCAAAAACAAGACTCATGTCGGTGCCTAAGATTCCTTCCTCTACACCCTTCAAATCGTTCAGCATGCCCCTGCTGAACAGTGATGGCTGGCTCCTTGTCGAAGAGAGAGACGCGAACACGCTTTGGGGGAGAAACAGGATCACATGAGCCCTCATCGACTAGGTGGGACAGTGAGTTGCTGTGCCAGTGTGGTGCGTCACGTGGCTAAGAAAAGATGATTCATTAAACATGACAGCGTTTCCCCCACAGGATGCTGAGCTATGAGTCCACGGAGAGCGAGCCAAAATGGCTATACACGTCAACCTATTTCTGGAGGTTGCACGGCTCAACGCGGGTGGGCATCGGAGGCGGGATGGTCAAAAGGCGGACCCTCTCAAGTACTCATTTTTCTTCATCCCCGTTCACTGGGAGTGAGTCATCTGACAGTACATCAGCATAGTAGGTCACAATTCGAGTCTGGTGCAGGTCTGCAGAACAGCAAACATCCGCGCTGCTGCAGGGCCCCGACAAAACAGCAGTCATTTGCACAGCGCAGGCCCGACCAGCTCGCAAAGTGTTCAGGTATCAAGTGTCGCTGTTGCGCACGGTCAGCATGTCCTTCCTCTACTCTGTTATAGTCACAATAGGCTCAGATGTGCCTATAATGAGAGATAGAGAGCACAGTCGGATTTCCGTCAGACGGCTTCAAATATTGATAACGATCTGCTGGCTGACTCAAACGGTGATCTGTAACTTGGATATGGAGCGCGTTGCTCTCGTCTATCAGCAGCAAGTTGAAGCATGAAATTCCATGAAGATTTGACGACGCTATGGCGGTTTGACTGGCAGGAGGTATAGCAGCCACTATAGTCTTGGAAGTACAAACTTAGCAAGAAGAGTTCGAGATGGAGATGGTTCCCAGCCTCTACATACCCCAAGAGCCGAGGTCCAGGTTGGTGGTACACCACCACAGAGTCCCCAACCATGAAGAGTCTCGAAACCAACCCTCCAAGGGGCTACACCAAGTGAAATGTAACACTACACGAAGTAGCGTTACTATTTTCACTATTTAATATTTATCCGTGTCCCTTGGGCTTGAAATCTTGAGCTCTTGGTCTTGGTTCTGCAAGATAAATTCTTCTTGAGTTGATGGGGGCTTGCTGCACACACCTGCGACACGATGGACACTTCACACTCGACAAAATAGAAAAAACACATGCGACACACAAACGACGACTTGACATGCGAGTTGTAAAACTCGCTAATGTCTTGACCGACACAAACCACATTGTGATACACCATTCAAACACACACACAAGCACTGGATAGCAATGACATAGACTCACAATTCATTCCATGCCATGCATGCACACACACAAACAAGGACGACAAGCCGAGTGCAAGCCATAGGGTTGCACCAACAAACTCCCCCTCGGATTGTTGGCCTTAGAATCTGCTCCCCTTAGTTTAGAGCCATCCCAAAAAGCTTGCAACACTTCCAATGCTGCTGCTCAACCAGCCTCTTGGTCATCATATCAGCTGGCTGCGCCGTCGTCTTCACATTGTGCAACTCCACTTCACCCGAGGTTACCACGCTCCTCACCCAATGCCACTTCACCTTCATGTGCTTGGTAAGGCCATGAAGAACCGGGTTCTTAGCCAATGCAATAGCACCCTGGCTATCACAATAGAGTGGGGTAGGTCCTTGCTGCTCCTCCCCCGATTCAGCTAGCAAACGCCGCTGCCACACAACCTCTCTTATGGCACGGAAGAGTGCCATGTACTCGGACTCCACCGAGCTCAATGCTTGGTCCACTTGTTTCTTGCTCTCCCAAGCTGTTGGACCTCCACCAACACAGCAGATGAAGCCTCCCACACTTGTCATATCCTCTGGTTCTGATGCCCAAGATGCATCAGAGAAGGCGGTGAGAAAGAGCCTCCCGGGTTCGACTCCATCCGCACCCTTTTGACGCCTTTGTGCCGCGGCGGAGTATTGCAGTCCAACAGTTGCTGTTTGGCCAAGGTACTTGGCCACCCTCTCTCCAGCTGCTACCTGCTCCTCATTAGGGCATTGGACAACCCTAGCCAGCTGCCCGGTAGCAAAGGCTGCATCCGGCCTTGTGTGAACGGCCGCATACATGAGGCTGCCCACCAAGGAGTGAAAACGCCGCCTCTCCTCTTCACCAACACTTTCCTCCGCTGGTCCTTTCACACACTTGAACCCTGAGGGAAGAGGAGTAGCCACATGACCTTCACTCTTCCCAAAGTTTGCAGCCAAGGCCTCCAAGTACTTCTTTTGATGCACTCGCATCCACCGCTTCTCCACATCTCGCTCAATGTGAAGCCCAAGGTAGTAGTTGACGTCACCAAGGGTCTTGCACTTGAACTTGTCTTGAAGCTTCAGTATCACCTCCTTCACAAGGTCAGAGGAGGGTGAGAATATGAGGATGTCATCCACATAAACCACCATGAAGCTCCTCTGCTCCCCCTCGCCAAGCATGAACAAGGATTGATCGGCCGTTGAGGGAGTGAAGCCGATCGCCTCCAAGACTTCCCGCAGCTTGATGTACCATTGCCTAGGGGCTTGCTTGAGGCCATAGAGTGCTTTCTTCAGCTTCCACACTCTGCCACTCCCATCATTGTACCCCTCTGGCTGCTCCATGTAGGTCTCTTCCTCCAAAACGCCGTTGAGGAAGGCCGTTACAATGTCCATTTGCTTCACCACCCATCCTTTGATGGCCGCCGCGGCGAAGAGAGTTCGAAGGGTTGTACCCTTCACCACAGGAGCATATACTTCATTGTAGTCCTTCTTCTCCTGCTGCTGGTACCCCTTGGCTACAAGTCTGCTCTTGTAGCGCTCAATGTTGCCGTCGGCGTCGGTCTTGCGCTTGAAGAGCCACTTGGAAGAAATCGCCTTACGGCCCGGAGGTAGGTTCACCAAGTCAAACGTGTCGTTCTCGATGATGCTCCCCATTTCTTCATCTGAGGCCTTCTTCCACTCCTTCCCATTGGGGCCCTCCCAAGCCTCCTTGGGATTTGTAGGCTCCCCCGGTATCTCCACCGGAGAGAAGAAGGCAAAAGCGCACTCCTCGCTTTCATCTTCCGCATCATCGCCTAGCATGAGAGCCGAACCGGTCAAGGTTGAGTTGGCTGGTCCTCCAAGCCGTTCATAGCTCAACCTATTGGGGGGCTGAGTCCTCCTTCTCCCCCTTCCTTCCTCCTCTACTGCAGGGACTTGAATGCTCTCATGGCTTTGCGGTAAGTCCGGTTGGTTCCCGCGAGCACTTGTAGCACGAGGCGGAAGTGGCGGTGCACGCTCATTACCTTGCTGCACCTCCTCCTCCTCCTCATCCCCATTCATTTGGGGAGATTGCCTCGTGATTGTGCTGCTGCTACTCAGCTCCAAGAGCAGCTCCACATGCTCCAAGCCGGTCCTCTTCACCTCTCCAAGCCGCACACCAATCTTCGCTTGGTTCTCCACCTTCCACTCCTTGTACGGTAAGTTCTCCATGAACTTGCAATCTCTGCTCACCAGGAACTTCTTGGTAAATGGGTCCCATAGAAGCCATCCCTTGCTGTTTTGAGCCATGCCCAGGTGCACGGCCCATGTTGCCTTGGCATCAAGCTTGTTGTGCCGAAGTTTCTTAGGCACAAGTGCCATGCACATGCACCCGAACACCCGAAGCATATCCACCTTCGGCTTCCTTCCAATCCACTCCACATAGGGCACCCATTTGTCTTCTCCCACATGAGTCAAGGCTCTGTTCTTGGCCACACAAGCATGTCGCACCGCATCCGGCCAAAAGTAATTGGGAAGACCGGCTTCAATGAGAAGTCCCCGAGCCGTCTCCGTGAGTGTCCGATTCGCACGCTCGGCGATGCCGTTCATTGCAGGAGAGTAGGGCATGGTGAGAGAGTGCCTTATGCCCTGCTTCTTCAGCCAAGTTGAGAAATCCTTGCTCAGAAACTCTCCCCCACGGTCAGTGCGAATCGCCTTCACAAGTCGGTCTTGTTGCCGCTCCACCATCGGCAACCAATCGGTCTTCACCGTTTCAGCTACGTCACTCTTCTTGGGCAGCACATACACCCAGGTCATGCGAGTGTAGACGTCCACAATGGTGAGGAAGTACTCTGCTCCAGCAGCTCCAAGCTTCAAGGGGCCCACCACGTCCATCACCACCTCATCAAGTGGTGCCTTCGCCGTTGTCTCCGAGCTATGGAACGGGTAGCGGGTGAACTTGGCTTGCATGCATGTTGGACAGCCAAGCACCTCATTGGGCTCCCCCTTGACACGTATCCCACTGACCATCTCTTGCTTAACAATCTGCTGCAAAATGGGCAATGCCACATGCCCCATTCGCCGATGCAAGGTCAGCCAATCACACTCTCCCGTAGCGGAAGTCGAGTTGGAGAAAGCGGCACTCGCAATTGTGCCCCACAAGCTCTCTCCTTTCTCCTTCGCCGCTGCTGCTTTGTTGATCTTAGCCTTCTCCTCCTCATTTCCACCACCTTTGGCTGCTGCACCATTCTCCTTGGGTTCACACGCCTTGCTGGTCTCTCCAAGGTTGCACTCCTTCGAGTCACTCTTGGTGTCACTTTGCTTTCCGTGATCACCGCCACCAACCGCTTCACGCTTGGTGCTGACGCTTGCTGCCACTTGCCTCCCCTTAGGCATGGGGACCACTGGGATTTGCCACATCTCATTGTAGATGTCCCTGTCCTCATGAAGGTCCCAAAGCTTCCGCTCACCAAGCCTCGCGGTATAGGTTTTGGATCCCTTGGAAGATGTGTCCATGCCGGCCTTTTGCAAACGCCGAACGGAAATCAGGTTGGCTGCTAGGTTGGGCACCAAAAGCACGTTCTTGAGGCCCACCATCTTCCCATCAGCACCCTTGAACATGGCCTTGCCCATGCCCTTCACCTCTGCTCGCTGCCCCAAAGCCGATGTAACATGCTTGACCGGCGACGGTTCGAGTTCGGTGAGCAAGTCCGCACGAGGTGTCATGCTGTAGGTGGCGCCGCTATCGATCACCCAAAAGTCCAGAGAGTGAAGGGTGACCTTTCCCACAGTAGCTGGCTCCTCAAAGCCTTCCACACCTCCTGCTGCAGCTGCCGCTTGCGTGGAAACAAAGAAGAATTGGCCCGGGTATCGATCTTCACTCGAGTCCTTGTCGTAGTCTCCACCTTTCATGCTTGCCGCTTCGCTTCCACGACCACCACGGCCTCCACGACCTCTGCCTCTTCCTCCCCTTGCTCCTCTGCCCTCTTGGCCTTGAGAAGGGGTCCATCCATCAGGCAATCTGAAGCAATCTCTCCACATGTGGCCGGTCTTGTGGCAAAAGTGGCATTCACCATCAAATCGACCGCGCCCACGCCCGTAGCCATTGTTGTTGTTGTTGCTGCCATATCCTCCATTACCACGGCCTCCATTGAAGTAGCTGCTGCCAAATCTTCCTCCTCGCCCTCTGCCCCTTCCACGGCCGTGCCCACGGCCCATGCTTGCAACTCCGGCACCATCGGGACCCGCCAATTCGCGACGGCGGAAATCTTCTTGTAAGATTTCCCGCTTCACATCTTCGAGTGAGAGACGGGGCAGATCTCGATTTAGGTTGATGATGAGCGAGGATCATGAGTCCGGAAGTAAGGCCAGCAGCTTGGTCTTCTTTTGAAGGTCACTGTAGTTCAGATCAGCTCCTTCGAGCCGTGTCAACAAGTCGAAGAATTTCTGCACTCCTTCCTCCACCGGTTCGCCTTCGTCAATTCGAAGTGCCGCCATTTGCCGCTCCAAAACCACAGCCACCGCCGCTGTTGCAGGAGCGTGTACACCCTTGAGAGCAGCCCATGCCTTTGGTCCCTTTGCTGGTTCACGCTGAAAAGGCTTGATGTGACGGATTTGGCTGCTCCCCAACGCTTGCCCAAGTAGAAGGTAGCCTTGTGCGCTCTTCCGCACCCACGGGCTCTTCTCCGGGTCGTTCTCGGGACGCTTCTCCGTTCCTTCCATCACCTCCAGCAGATCATAGTGGTCAAAGATGTTCTCCATCTTGAAGGACCACTCAGCAAAGTTGTCACCGTTGAACTTGTCAAGGCCAAACACTCTAGGCTCATCCCTAGAGGGTCCAAGGCTAGGTTGCACCGGAGCAACGGGTGGATCTTGGTGTTCACCTTGTGCTTGGGCGTCTTCTCTGCCTCCAGCACCTCTGCCACCCCCTTCCTCAGGTCTAGGCATGGTCGAGACAGCTCCAAGGGGCTCTGATACCACTTGTTATAGTCACAATAGGCTCAGATGTGCCTATAAGGAGAGATAGAGAGCACAGTCGGATTTCCGTCAGACGGCTTCAAATATTGATAACGATCTGCTGGCTGACTTAAACGGTGATCTGTAACTTGGATGTGGAGCGCGTTGCTCTCGTCTATCAGCAGCAAGTTGAAGCATGAAATTCCATGAAGATTTGACGACGCTATGGCGGTTTGACTGGCAGGAGGTATAGCAGCCACTATAGTCTTGGAAGTACAAACTTAGCAAGAAGAGTTCGAGATGGAGATGGTTCCCAGCCTCTACATACCCCAAGAGCCGAGGTCCAGGTTGGTGGTACACCACCACAGAGTCCCCAACCATGAAGAGTCTCGAAACCAACCCTCCAAGGGGCTACACCAAGTGAAATGTAACACTACACGAAGTAACGTTACTATTTTCACTATTTAATATTTATCCGCGTCCCTTGGGCTTGAAATCTCGAGCTCTTGTTCTTGGATCTGCAAGATAAATTCTTCTTGAGTTGATGGGGGCTTGCTGCACACACGTGCGACACGATGGACACTTCACACTCGACAAAATAGAAAAAACACATGCGACACACAAACGACGACTTGACATGCGAGTTGTAAAACTCGCTAATGTCTTGACCGACACAAACCACATTGTGATACACCATTCAAACACACACACAAGCACTGGATAGCAATGACATAGACTCACAATTCATTCCATGCCATGCATGCACACACACAAACAAGGACGACAAGCCGAGTGCAAGCCATAAGGTTGCACCAACATACTCCCCCCCCCCCCCTTCATCTCCTACTGGAACGTCCCTCAGTGGCGGGCTGTTGTTAGATGATCATGCGGGAAACCACGCGATGGGGTTCCCGGTGCTGTACGCCTACGTCAGTGACCACCCCGAGTCCTCCAAGGTTTGTGCACCATGCAGTGCGAGTCATTCCATCCATGCTCCATGTGTCTGGTGGAGTAGTACAACCTGAAGAAGATCCTCTCGACAACTCTGAATCGCACCGTGAAGGGCCAGAAAGGCGGTGTACAGGCTTCTCAAACGCTAAGAGCGGGTGGAGACGCCGAGCGCCCTGGCTGCCCTCAAGTCGAAGTACTCGACGCACGCCGTGCTGGTAAGTGGTAGGGGACTGGTTCCGCCCCTTTCGCGGGAGATGGGGGGTGTCGGTGATCGAAATGCTACGGAAATTGTAACGCCAATGACACATTCGCAAACTATAAACAGAAATGTTTTGTAAACACTTCGCGAAGCATTTTCAGATTGTCGCGTCAAATGTCAATGTGTTGTCCCGCATGCTCGCTGCATATTTCCCGCAGCCCGATCAACGGGTCACTGTCTCTTGTCAATTCGCCGCCGCGTATTTCCCACAGCCTGGTGGACGGGTCACTGTCTTTAATCATTGCAGCTGGCTCAACCTTGCTCATTCCACGGCATTCCATTAAGACCTTGTTCCATTCTCGGTTTCAAGTCCCTTGCACGCGGGGTACAGCGCACCGCCAAGGTGCACCATTTGTTGATCTGCCATTCGCATACTGTAAAGGCAAACACCCGCTATCACCGCATATCGCGTACTCGCTGATTCGTGCGCCCGCGCTGCCCAGGCAAGTCCGCGTATCCTTGCCGTCCCTTCTCGAGTGCTCGCTCTCCCACCTTTCCCCCCCCTGTCCTTGCTCTCAGCCGCCACGTAGCTTTTCCCAGACCCCAAGCCGTGTCCATCGGACGCTGCTGTCCCGTTCGTTCATGCACCCCCCCTTAACCCAGCATCGTCCTCTCATGTCCCCCCCTTCTCCCCCCCCCCTCCCTTCCCCCACGGGCTATGCCAACCCGTCCCCACCCCTCCTGCCACCCTAAACTAACCCTAAACCCGACCCGCCACGTGTGTCCGTGTCATGGGTAATCCACAGTGCACGTTGTGGGAGTGGGAGTTCTCCACGACGCTGTGGGGGAACATCTACCTTGCGCTCCCTTCCTGAATCATGCACATGATAGAGCAAGGGTGGTGGCTGCATGACATGAAGTGCCTAGTCGCTAAACTCACTCCGACAGAGCGCGGCATCCTGCTCAAGTGAGTTGCTGCCTCACACGCTGTGTGTTGCCTTTTGTCTTCTCCATCTCATAGTGGTCCTTGTATTCCATGCCGTCCTTCCATATGTCCCCTGCCTCCCTTGTCTTCCGCCCTCCCCCCAACCTTTGCTTGTGCTCCCCCCCCCCAGCCGATACTCCGTTATCAAGGCAGTGACGCCGTCCTTCCTTCTGCGTCTGCCCGGCGGGTGGATGTACTTTTCCACGACCACCGGGTTCGCGGCCTCTGAGCACCGTGCAATGATGCAAGTTCTCCCCCTCATCCTCATCCTCGACAAGCGGGAGCCACAGCGGGAGGCGGTCGTGCGCATGGTGACGTGGTACAAGGAGCACATCCGTGCGGAGTACCACACCGACGAGTCACTAGTGAAGCTGACGAGCGACGGCAAGGAGTACGTTCACTTTGCTTCCCTGCACCCACTCCCCACTCCCACCAAGCTTGGTCCCCCCTTACATCCGCGGAATCCCAGGCCTCTGCCGTGCCTTTGTTGTGCACCCTAATGACTTTCACACCTCCTCCAACCCACCCACCCACCCCCAAATTCCCCCACCCCCAATCCCCCATGACCCATTCTCTGCATGTCTGCACCTCATAGCATGGTCGACTCCCTATGCACGGCGTTCGACAACCAGAAGTCGGGGTGGGGGATTGTCAAGATCCACGAAATCTGCCACCTCTCTGAGATGATCAAGGCCCGTGGGCTCCCCCACGAGTACTCCAGCAACTCCTACGAGCACGCCCTCAAGACCACTGTCAAGCGGCCGTCCCGGGGCTCGAACTGGAAGAATGTCGACCAGAGGATTGTGAAGAAGCACATTCAGCATGCGGTCGTGCGGCAACTGACGAGAGAGGTGGGAGGTGACGCCACCTATAAGACGGCAATGAAGCAGGTATGCCCCCTTCTCCCGTACCCCCTGTTCCCCCTCTCCCCCCCCTTTCCCTCCCTCCCCCCCCTCAGCCCCACTCCTCCACCCCACCGTTGGGGCTATCCCCCTTGTATTCAGTAGGTGTTTCACATTCGTGCACACTCACATCTGCCTCTCTCTGTCCTTGATTTCATCCTCCCCCACTCTGATCTGGCCATCGACAACTCTGTCCGCACCCTCCCCAGCACGTATCCCCATTCCCAATCCCTGAGAGCACACTTTCCCACTCCAATTTACCAGCCCTCCTCCCCGATCTCGCCCTCCCCCAACCCCATCCACCCTCCACCCCCTTGGGTTTCACCCTTCCCCACTCCCATCCGCCTTCCCACATCCCTGACAGCACACTCCCCCATCCTTTGAAATCAGCCCTCCCCTCTCCCACCCGCCATCCTACTTCCATGCATTCACCCTACCCCTCTCCTGTCTGCCTTATCACCTCATTGGAGTCCCCCTCCCCCACTCCCATCCGCCCCTTCCCCTCCGAATTGTCCCTAAACCCACCACGACCCTCCCAAACGCTCTAACCACCCCGTGTACCCCACACCGCCCCCTACAAGCAGCCCTCCTTGGCAAGAGGGTCATGACTAAGACCTGGAGGCGCATGGAGGTGGGGGACCAGCTGGACACCGTTTTCATGTCCTGCATACGTACTGCTGGCGTGGAGGCGATGCGAGAGATGGCAAACAAGATGGACCTCGCCAAGATCAGGATGCGCATTGTCTGGGTAAGTGCTTAACCATCCCAACTCCCCATCCGCCTCCCAAATGCTCCTGTGAACTCGCAACCCACACTGGTGGGAGGTGCTGGTGTTCATGATTCCATGAAGTGAGCCCTCTAAACCCGTCTAGTTAAGAACCATGCCGGTCTCGACCCTGATTGTAACCCTATCGCGTATTGCTTTATCTCATCCGCCCCCCACCCCTCCCCCCCAACACCACCATCGCATGTGCATTACCCTCATTTCCGCTGAGCCCTTCACCGCATGCCTCCGTCACCTCCGCTCCCTAATCCCGCCTTGCTGTTCCGCCCATCTATGCCACTCGTACTCGTGTGCATGCAGGTGCACATGGCCATGGTCACCCCCCCCCCACGACCGCATGGAGTGGACTGCCAAGGGCTAGTTTGTGAATGCGACCCCGCATGAGTGGCTCTTCTCCGACGTCTCTATCAAGCCCGCAGATGGATTCGGGGCACCGTGGTACGGCCGGGCCCTCGTGCTGTTCCACTACCTTGACGATGC